TGGTGATGATGATGATGATGATGATGATGATGATGATGATGATGATGATGGTAGTGGTGATGATGATGGTAGTGGTGATGATGATGGTAGTGGTGATGATGATGGTAGTGGTGATGATGATGGTAGTGGTGATGATGGTGATAGTGGTGATGATGATGGTAGGTAGGGGAAAGGTGATGATAGTGATGGTGGTGGTGTAGGGAGTGATGATAATGGTGTTAATGATGGTGATTAATGATGGTTGTAGTTGGGATAATGTGATGATATGTTTACCATCTCTGTTCTAGCTTCACAGTGCATTCAAATTCTAAATTTTTCATTCAGTTTAAAGACGATCTCCTTATACAACATGATCCAGCAGAGAAGAACATCACTCGCTTGAGTGACGTCGCTTCAATTCGTCTCTACAATCCTCAAACTTTGGCTGAACTTTCTGTTTCCGGGCTTGCAAATCCAGTCATTTTACGATTCCCAATTGATGATGCCGAAATGTACGAAAACTACACCAAAGAAGTAAGCTTTAACATATTAAATAAACTAAAATAACTTTGTTTATACTGTACAGCTCTGTCAGTTCTAAACTATTCTTCTTGGAAATGCAGCGAGAACCGTTCCTTTTGATTAACCTCTAAACACTTGCAAACAAACATTCCAACACGTGATCTGTCCTTTATATAGTGTCGAATATGGCACGAGGATTCAAAGGAATGGCAGATGTCGGGATGCTCTGCTTCTACATCAAACAACAGTATTGTCGAATGTAGCTGCACAAAGTTAGGTTATATTGCTATTTTCTTGGGAGAAAAACAGCGTCCTACCACTGCACCGCCGACAACACCAGAACCAAGTCACGCCAGAACCACAGGTGAGGAATTTGAAAAATGTTTTGTGGATTGGTGGTTAAAATCTCATGATCTTTATTTGTTTTATGTTCTATAGTGGCACAAGAGGAAGCCCAGATGGTAGAGTTCGCGTTTGATGCAAACTACAGTCAAGTTATAAGTGGCAATACAACAAAACCTGTCTTCATTTCACATCTCCGACCATTCCTCGCCAAACTACTGAATATTTCCCAAGCAAGAATCACGAATATTGACATCAGAAGTGGAAGCATTATTGTGACATTCACCATACTACCAAGCAACAACACGAACGAAGCTTCTGTCAACTCAACTATCCTGCATCTTGAGCAGTTGGTGAAGACAAATAATGTGAACCTTACTTTACCTGGCTCTAACGACACACTAAGAGTTAATCCGAGTTCCTTCAAAATCATCGTCGTGTCACCAACGACCAGAGCTTCAACTTTGAAGCCAGATGATGATGATGATGATGATGGTTTGAGTACAACAGAGATTGTGATAATTATTGTTGTTTGTGTGATTGTTCTAATCGCAGTGATCGCAGGATTGGTGTATTATTTCGTACGTGTAAAACCTGCTAGAGCTGGCAAGATCTCCCCGCATAATTCAAGCATGCAGCTTAACGAACAACAGAATAATAATCAAGTTGCGAGGACTGGTGTGGATAACAATGCTGTCGTCACAGGTATATGATGTTGCTAATTAATAGTTAATTAATCTTAATTAGTTGATCAATTAAATTAATTAATTAGTTATCTAATTAATTCGTTAATTAATTAATTAATTAATCTATTAGGTAATTTAGGAACATTCATATTAAGTGGGTTTCGCTGAGCAGCACTATCATGCAAAAGTTCAATGAGGTTTATTCGCAAATACCACCAAACAAGATATTTGTTTCTTCAAAAAAGCACTATCATATTTGGTGGCAAATAGATAGCATTATAAGATGTAGTGTAATACACACTTTCAGAGAGTACGTCACCATGACTATGAAGCCTCGAAACGAGACGTTGGGCTTTAACCAATACGACACATACAAAAAACGAGGCCAAAATGACGTGCTTTCTGGAAGGGTGTATTACCTTGCTTCTATATGTCAGTCAACATTTATGAACTTGGCCACCATTTACTCCGATGTAACGCTTTCTAAAACCCACAAATTGCCAGTACATTAAAACGATTACCAGTCCTAAATTATTTAATGTTTAATTTTCAGATGAGAAAGCAGTCTAAACCACAACATCTTCAAACAAACTGATGTAGATACACTCCAAGAAAACAACATTTTTGTGTGAGGATACATATCCTTTACTTTACTTATGATCACGCAAGCAGCCGGTCTGTACCATATAAAACGTTTTGTAGTAATACGCTGTAGTTAACTTGCACTGGTAGTAAATGTTGTATAGATTGATCGCACTGTTGTGTAGCACACAGTTTGGTAAAAATGAAGATATTTTTCGATATGTCATAACTGTTATTTAAGAAGGCACAAAATTACATTAAAATAGGTGTTAGTTGGATTCGTAACGAATTAAACGCTATATTTAAGGCTTGATAAATCTACGAAAGAATTTGCAAAAACAGTTGAAACTTTGATGTTTCCTGAAATGTTTTCCCGTTTGCCCTCCCTCAGAAATATTGTTTAGGACACAGAATTTGCTTCTCAGAACGAAACATGGAACAGGGGTTGGAATAAAGCCTTATGATTTGCTGAGAGAATTTTGTAGTTTAAAGATATTAGCAGGCATGCATAGTGTAGGAAATTTCAGTTGGAAAGCACCCATAATCTGAGTGTTTGAACAGTTTGCAATTATTTATCGTATGAAGAAAAGACAATGATTTAAGTAGTTTGCACGTAATTTATTGAATAAGTAGTAGAAAGCGTAAAATACATATTTTATGTACATTTGTGATCTCCTGTCTTTTCTATACTTGGTTTGGTTAATTTAGGTTATGTTTAAGTTGGCATAGTTTGAGAGCTTCCATCTGTGTTGAGGCATTGATGCTGAATTTCCATTTTTCCAAGATTTATGCGGTTTAATGCGCAAGAAAGTAAGAGTTGAAAATTTTATTTGTATCTCTTTCAAATTTTACAGCTCCATATTTTATATATTAATGCACTATTCTGACTAATTGTCATTCGTATATGAAGATCAAATCTAGTTGAATGTTGTATGGTAAATACCCATCTTGAGTATCTTTTAGCATGCAAAATGTTTTTCGTTATCATTAGGAATCCCTTTTGTCCATATTCGTAATTTTAATATTCATTAAGAGTTCTCATATGACCAGAAAGGGGTTGAAATAATTGCTTTTCCAATGAAAGATGATTTCATTTCCACCGGGCAGCATGTTCTTTCGTAGTGGGTGAAGTGTACTGAAAGGAAGTGTCGTTAATGGATTCAAGGTGTCTTCCAAGGATACCAGATGTCTTATCCCTATCCAAGCCATGAAACACCCCCAATGTCCCTAGTTATCTTTATATGCCTCTAGTAAAGCCAAGATGGAGAAATGACACCCAATAGCCGCGCCAAAGATGCCAAACACCGCGACCAGAGTATCGACTGCAAAATGATGCCATTCTAACCTATCATAACATATCTTCATATGAAAGATTGCCGGGAAGATGAAAGCCAGGCACATGCCTGTGAAGTTTCCGACCAACGCCATGTACAGCCCGAAATGCGGGATTATAACGCCTGTTAAAAGGGTAACCGAGATCACGAAAGATCGTGCTGTTAACATCGTGATTCGTGTCAGCCTATCCGTGCCCTCGAGTAACGTGGCGAGCGGAAACCATGACACATTAATATCCTGGAGCAAATCAAACACCGTATATACTGGGATGGTATACGACGAAAGCGCCAAACCAAAAACCAGGACATTGATAGGCAAATGTAGGAAGCCATGTGGTATATTTCTGGTTATAACTTGTTTAGTTTGCTCTTGAAATGTGAGAAAACCAATTATCCCGAAACCCATTTTCACGCCCGTGTTAGCGAGATAGGCGAGGTTTATCACTTGGGGGAATTTCGCTGGCTCTTTCATGCTATCTTCAATCGCTGGCATGTAAGGTTGCGAGGCGTAACTCACTACGATAATCCCCACCGCCACTCCGTATTGTGATATATCAAACTCTGGCACTGCATCAGTTTCCCACTTTGGTAAATGCCATACACAAAACCCGATGAGTATAGTGTATACCACCTGACCAATGAGCACCGCCACAAAGCTGACCCATGATACATCGGTTATAGACTTGAGCAGTATATTGGGTAACACCATAAAGGCAGCAATTGCGGTCCAATCACTACGCTGTAAACCCATGTGCGGAAACGATTTCTCTAAGATTGATCCGCTCAGAATCAAGAGTAAAGTACAGTAAGACAATTGTTCAAAAATTTGCGCAAAATGGACCAACGTTCGGCCGTACCGTCCTGCGAATGCGTCCCCAATATCCATATAGCTATTCCTCGCTCTATACCGTTCCCCGTTTTTGTAATCGTACAGACAGCCTACCAAAATCTTATTTGTGTAATTTGAAATAACTGCCACCCCTGCAATGCTAAGTAGAGCAAGCCAACCACCACATTTTACAACAAACGGCATCGTCAGTACAGCAACTCCTTGATTCGCGTTAAAAATGTTCCAAAATGTTTGAACGTTGCTGGACTTGTCCGGTTCTCCATCCTGGTTTTCTATTGAGTCCTCCTCGTCACTGTCTTCGTACTCGCTTCTCGGGTTGAGTAAAAAGTAAAGTTTTCTTCTCCATTTGCTTCGCATTGTGTTGGAGAACCTTCTTCTTCAACTTGGTGTAATGTAAATGCTATCTTCTAGCTCACTGATAAAATCGCGGTGCAGTCAAAACCCAGCGGCAGCCCTCAGCCTCCTGTAGAAATGTCACAAACACGATTTAAGGACTTGCTCGCAGCTTTAATATAACGATTGCTCGCCCACATATAAGTTTTACAAAAAAAGTTAAGAGGAATTAAAATTGTCACCTGTTTTGAGCACTCTGTCTTAAATCTTTTTAGGACTCCGTTTCGTTTAGTTCAACATTTCATTCTGAATTTCCATTTTTCCAAGATATCACTTTAGTTTTGTTCTCGTTTTATCTTCAACAAACTATTTCCTGCTCTTCTGCACAACTAAAAGCACTGAACGTTACGCTAAACTTGCCCAATATATTTCAATTACATTCTCCTCAAATTGCAATCAAAAACCAAGTAGTTAGCTTTCAATAAATGCCAAAACAGTTTGCCGTAATTGATTTGTTCTATTTGTCTGAGTTCTATAATGAGTTTTTGCTATTAACCCGCAAATGTCTGCACGCAGCTGATAATGCGCTCAAAAATGTTATCCATTTAATAATTCATAGCATCGATTTCGATCCCGTCTCTGTTTGGTTGAAACAAACCAACTTTAGTAGTTACACCCGCAATTTGAAATTCATGAAGTCTGCTTGGTTTAAGTGGCTTGCAATTTCATTATGCTTCACTCACGTCTCTGTCGTAGGCGTTCATGATAGTTGCACTTTGTCAAAAAGTCCAAAATGTTTTGAACTTATTCTCTTCATTACATGATACAGCAAAATTGCAACTAAATTTACCTGAACTGGTAAAGTCCGAACATTTCCGTTCTTCAATTCAAACATAATTAGTAAGCTTGCTAAGAATTTTTCTACTTGACTCTTGTTTCCTATTGGTAGTAAACAGTGGAATAGATTCTCAATGTAATATTGATTGCAATTAGTTATAATCCTCATTTTAATCCACTTCTGTACTCTAGTAGAACTGATACATTTCAGACAAAAGTAAACAAAAGTGTTTTTTTTTTTCAATCAAACATATTATGACCATTATTACTGAGAAATTTGTTGCGGAATTATTGCAATTCTTGAAAAAGCATTCGAGCCTTAAATTCATCTTTGAGAAAAATTACCTTTCTGTAACGAAGTATTTCATTCACTTTCATGTAATATTTTTTATCCTTTGCTATTTCCAACATTTAGCATATGAAATAATGAAAATACTTCGAAGTGAAAGCATTGTGTAGTTATTTGCATCATTTTTTTCGATCTTTTTTGAATGAATAATTTATCACATGCATAGAGAATGAGCTTCATTTAGTAAATTTGTTTAACGATCGATAAAAATTTATTAAGTTTTTGTTGTGGGTCCAGAGGCAGAGCAGCAGAGGAGACTATTTATTTTAGATATTGATCTTTCCAAGTTTTAATTAAATTGAGAGTATACCTAGACAGGAAAAACGTTTCATAACCAAAGACAAAGAGACGCAGAAGCTAGGTTGAGTGCAGGAACATTTAAGAAAAAAACATCAAGAAAAGCGATTCACGAACGATGCTTTTTCATTACCGTGCTATTTAACCTGGATGTTTATCAGGATATTTATCAATAAATAATATTAGTTTCGCTCTTATGCGCGAATCAAATCGAAACCTTGACATCCCCCCCCCGGGCATACCTGGGGAATTTGCTTGTTTAGTATTATAAGAAGGCGGGAATTTGACCTTTTTTTCTAGTGGAAGGTGGGGAATTTGAACCTGGGTCGGGAATTTGAATTTTTCTTTTAAACTCGTATGCAGAAT